CCATCAACTCTATTTGGAAATGTATCGAATTCAACATCTGATAATACAAATGTACAATCACCAAATAATGAAAAACCACCAAGTGCACCAGCTAATCTTCTTATTGTACCAATACAACGTCTTGTTTTATTTGCACGAATGCTTAAAGATTTTGATTTATTTTCTGAAGATGATAAAGTTAATTTACTTAAAGGTTCAGCTATTGAAATAATGGTTTGTTCATCTAATACATTATTTAATCCAAAAACTCATACATTTACAAATTATTTATCACGAGATCAACGTGCTGTTGTTGATGATCAAATATTACCACTTGATCCATTACTTACAAAATTATGGGGAGAAGATATATTTAATCGTACACGAAATTTTTTAATATCAATGTGTAATTTACATGTTGATGAAGTAACATCAACATTATTAGCACCAATTATTTTATTTTCACCTGATCGTTTAAATATAAATGATCTTAATTTAGTTAAACGTTTACAAGAAAAATATGCAACAATTCTACGTAAATATATGAATTGGCGTTATGGTGTTGAACAAACAGAAAATATTTATCCTAAACTTTTACTTCAAATTGTTAATCTTCGTTCATTAAGTTTAGCACATGGTGAAATTATACAAAAATTTATGGCTACATCAAGTGTTAATCCACTTGTACAAGAAGTTACGATTAAACCTGAAATGTTAAATAAATTAGCACGAGAAAAAAATGGTAAAAAAAAAATAAAAATAAGATATATGAAAGTTTTATTTATTTATTTTTTAGATTCATTTTCATTATCATCATCATCTCCAACTGATATTGACATGACAGATTATGATAAAACTCCATCGAATGAAACTGAAAGTAATAATGGTTCAGATGAAGATGATTTTACGAAGAAAAAACTACGTCTATCACCTGATGATTATTTTGATTATGACAATGAAGATATAGATGAATCAAATCCACGTAATATATGGAGAAAAAGACGAAAATTATCTCATAATGATCAAGTGTCATCTATGATACAAACAGAAATCACAACAATTGAACAAACTAATTCAAATAATAATTACATAAAAACACCTAATGATTATAAAAATATCGATCAATATCCACAAGCTAGTTCTTTATATATGAAGCCACATGATCATCAAGTACCAGCTATCTTATCTACACATCAAGATGGTTCAATGATTATGTCAAATAAGTTAGTAATAGAACAATTAAAAAATGAAGTTTTTCTTTTTTTTCCTAATTAAAAATTCTTTTTTTTTTGTTTTGTTTATAGATATTCTACATTAAATCAATTTCGACAATTACCAACAAGAAAGCAATCATTAGCAACAAGTCCACATTCCATGCAACAATATCAACAAATTTATCGAGCTCATTCATCATCAACAAATGATCTTACATCATTTGATTATCAGCCACAATGTAAGAATTTTTGTTTTCTCAATAAAAATCTTTAATATTCAAAAGATAAATATTTATTTATATTTTAGCAAATCAAGCATATAATCCAACAATGATACCAACAGTAGGACAATATTATGATGATCAAACATATGAAAATTATAATCAACAGTATGCACGTATGTCAGCAGCTAATTATCAACAACAACAAAATGAACAACAATTACTTCTTCTTTCATTAGGTAAAACTTATCAAAAAAAAAAAAATTTTTTTTGTTTTCATTTATTTTTTTTTTCTTATTTAGCAAATAGTCAAAATCAAACATCCCCAATTTCACATTCACCAAATCATGTTACAAATCAACAGTCTCAATCACCAACATGTTCACCAGCAAGATCAACACTTGATGAAGATGAACAACAATTACTTAATGCTATTCATGCACATCCAAATAAACGCGATCTTGTACTTAATCTTTTACGACAAATGAATCAGTCACCATTATTAACACCATCACCAATTCATCATCAACAACAACAACAACAACAAACAAGTCCATATTATAATCACCATCAACAACAACAACAGCAGCGTCATTCAGATTCATCACCGAATTATAAACCATATAAAACACATGCATATATGGAGCACAATAATGAATAAATCGTAATTTCTTATTCCAAAGATTTGTATATATTGGAAATTATTTTTCGTTTTCAAATATCTAGAGGTGATCATTATTGTCTTTTTTTTTTCGTTTCAAATCTGAGTGGAAATATCAGATTCCGGTTAAACAATATCTGGATGAAAATAAAATAAAATCCAATAAAAGCAATAGTTTATATTTTGACAAAGTAAAATTACTTATTTATTTAAGGTCATTTTTATTTTATTTTAATTAATTATACTTATCGAAATATTCTATTCTATAATTTGTTTCTTGTCTTTTTTTTTAAAATTTGAGCATTACTAGTTGCTTCATTTTGTTCTGTTTATTTCTTTTTGTCTGGCTATTGTCTAGTGATGTTACATGTCATTCATTAATTGTTTTTCTCTCAAGATGATTTTTTCTCAAGATGTTAATGTATTTTTTTTTTTGTTTTTCGTTGTTTGAAATATATTTTCTTTTTGTGTCTTAGTTGATTTTAGCATTTATATGTTTGTGTAGTTTCGTTTGATTGTATTTATGGCTGATTCAAATGATGAGGCCAATATTTTTCTTTTTCATTCATGTAACACTATCTGGTTGAAAATTTCAACCGATGTGAATAAAACAATTTAATTATAAAGGGAAACTAATTATTTAATTAAGTATATAAAAACAAAAAGAAAAAAATAAATTAACAAAACTAAATAGAATAATATTTGTTAACAAGAAAATAAAGAAAACCTACGGCATTAAACATTCTTTATTTGACGGACGTTAATCAAGAACTTTTTTTTTTTGTTTTTAAGTATGGGGCAATGTCAGGAAATCAAATTTACATGAAAGTTATTATAAAGAAATAGAAAAAAAAGCATGAGTATGTCAAATTATTTATACTAATCATCAATTTAATTAAGAATATAAAAAAATCAAAAATTGGTACTTTATTTTGTTTGAGTAATTGATCGTGAAAGACAGAGATGGACAAAATCGCACCGCGCCTCCCCGCGCCACTGCTCGCGCCTAGGCGCTACGCACATCTCTCTTTCTCTTTGCTCTACCAATCAGTTTCTCAAACTCCACCGAATACCGGGATGCTCTAAGCATGCGCTCATCGAAGCTCAGACAAGTGTAGCGTAGGCGTGAGCAACGGCGCGGGGAGGCGCGGTGCAACTTTGTCCATCTCTGGTGAAAGAATGATGTTTTGTTTGTTAAAATAAAAATTTCAAAAGTTTATTTCAAGATTAATAATATAAATTTTTTTTGTAATTTATAAAGTAAACGAAATAATATTGAATATAGTTAGTTGTTTATGTTTAATTTATGTATGAATTCTTGATATAATTATTTTCATTTTGATTATGTGAACAAAGCAATTAGTTTTATTATGTTATAGACACATTTTAAATTATGAAAGATCATTTTTATATTCAATGATAGGTACTTTATTTTAATTTGATAATAAACACTAGGTACAATTATAACAATTTACAAAGTATGAAAAAAAAAGAAAAACATTTTTCTTGTGAAATTAATGTTCTACTATAATTTTCCTTCAAGCTTCATTGGATTTGATTGATAATAATGTTGATGTCAATAATGACGATGTTTTTTTTTTCAGTGTAGGGTAAGCTATACGATTAATAGCCAAAAAGAAACAATTATTCAAAGCAACTTGTTATATATATATTCAAACGATAAAGACACAAATGGTACGAAATTTGACTAATGTGTTCTATAAAAAATGATTTATTTTCATAAAAACAAGAGAAACGAAAGAATATATTTCTGAATTATCTTTTACATTTTAAAGTTACCATGTTTGCAGCAGTTTTTTAATTTGGTAATATTTTCATTGGATGATCAATTTTTTATTTTATTTTGAAAAAAAAATTCTTTTTTTTATCATTCCCTTTGACTAATTGAAACGATCAGATATAAAAGAAATTGTGCAAAATAATCTAAAATAAATGTTAAACTTGTCTAACTTTTTAACTGACACCAATTAACTCAATATTTTGGCTATGAGTAAGAATCATTGAAATTTAAAGAATTCTTTACTCTGAATTGATAACTTGTTAATTTTGACAACAAAGGAAGTAAATTCTATCATACGAAAGTTTACATTAAATTAGAAACAAGTCCAATACAGGGAACATGTTAACTTAACTTATTACTTTTATTTACTTAAATCCAGTTGACATCACTAGACGCACTTCAAAGAAAATAACTATAGATCTATGAAATTAATATAAAAAGCAGTTGAAAATAAATAACGAAATGTATTTTTCAGTCCTTATTCGAAACACTGCTAATTCCATTTCAAGCAATCGATATGATCAAGTTAAGACTTATATTTAATTGAGCAATAAAATAGTTGAAATGAGCAATAATCAAATTTAGCAATAAATATATTGGATGAGCAATATATATAATGCATGAGCGATACTTATACTGAATGTGCAATAATTAGATGGAATGAGCAATAATTAATTTAAATAAAACATAAAATGTACAGAGTGGTCCATAAGTCACCCGACACTCTTGTATTGTGAATAACTTTTGATAGGAACATGTTATAGACCTGCGGTTTTCACCATTTGAAAGAGCGATGTTTAGACCATCGATCCATATAATATTCACTAGGACGAAAGATGCTTTTACATAGGAACTTTTCAATTGAAATTTTTTTTTTGTGCATTTTCAGAAATTTTCACATTAATCTTGCCTCAAATTACACCAAAATATAGCTCAAATCACCCATTTTTTGGTATAAAAGTATCATTTTATGTATTATTCCGTCGACCTATTTTTTCAAGTGCATCTTTGGAAAATATTGAGAATTTTATAGCGAAACAGTGGTGACTTGAGCTATATTTTGGTGTAATTTGAGGCAAGATTAATGTGAAAATTTCTGAAAATGCACAAAAAAAAGAATTTCAATGGAAAAGTTCCTATGTAAAAGCATCCTTCGTCCTAGTGAATATTATATGGATCGATGGTCTAAACATCGCTCTTTCAAATGGTGAAAATCGCAGGTCTATAACATGTTCCTATCAAAAGTTATTCACAATACAAGAGTATCGGGTGACTTGTAGACCATCCTGTATTTCATTTTTCTTTTTGTTTCTTGTCAATTGTAAATAAAAATAATGTAGTTTTTCTCCTTTTTATTGCTCAAATATAAAATTAATATTGTTATCTAACAAACTACTTATTGCTCATTTAATATTATAAAATTGCTCAAATAAAGTTTTTTTATTACTCATTCCAATATTTTTATTGCTCAAATAAATACAAGCCTCAAGTTAAGAGCTAATAAAAGAAGCTATACATACTAGTACTCTACTTTGAATCAGTATGTATAACTCATTTTGTTAATCATTCTCTTGATCATATCGATTGCTCCAAATAGAATTTGAAGTGATTTGAATCAAATCATAAAATTGTACATATTTCGCTACAATTTGATATTATTTTAGCATTCTGCCTTGTCATAAATGATGCCATTTATCAATGATAAACCTGAATGAGAGTATTAAAAAAAAAGAAAACAATAATTCACTCTAAGAACTATGACGATCTATTTATTATTAATTCTATCACTGTTATTATACCAACATCTGAAACCCTTCAATTTGCATAAGAATTGGCTTAAGATGCCATAGAATACAATTTTGATGTATTTATTATGATTGATGATAATTATTTTAATGTGTCTACTATAAATATGTCGTCTGATGTTCGATTAATCCAGATTTCAAATCAACAATGTGTCAAGTATGGTTATCAAAAAACAATTAGTTTAGCATCTAAATGGCGAGAAATTACATTATGGGATAAAACTCTTTTTCTATTTTACTTTATTCAATATTAATTATACATTTGTTTGGTTAATTAAAGATGATGTTTTTATTCCAAGTGTACAAGCATTTCGTTCATTACATCAAGTTTATTGGAATACAAATGATCTTATTATTCCACGTAATGAAATTAATTTACTAGGTAATACATCAACTTGGTTATGTTCAATGGTTAATGTAGTCGAATTTAGTTGACGAATATTAATAGGTATTCGTGATTATGTTTATTGATTAGGTGAAGTACCATTTCATGAATTTTTCTTCAATACATTAGCTATGCATTTACACATGACTCTAGTTGCATCAACGGAATTAAATACGATTGTCTATCAAGCATTTTATTCTTTAGAATAAATATTTAAATAATCTAATAATTTATGGCATCCATTTAAAATTATTGTCAAAAGAAAATTATGGCGTAAAATGTATGTATTCTTGAGTTAAATAATATTGTTAACGTCTTCCTCTCGAATAAAGACAATTTTCATCAGAGTTATCGAAATGAAGATAATATACATGGAAAGATAGTTCGAAGTCTGATTTTTTATTTGGCACCTTGGTTTTTTCCCAAACGTTTTGAAAAATTTCTGTCATTATCAGCTACTTGAAAAAAAACTCTTTTTTTCATTGTTTATTTATGTTTCTTTTGGGATCATACATCTTAGAACTCTTGAAGAGTTTCATTGTAGCTAATTGCTGTTTTTCTTTTGTTTGAAAAAATATGTCAAGATGTGGAACATAACAGAATCCGTTTTTTGAATTAAACTCTTTTACTATTATATAAAAAAATAGTTTTATAATTAAAACGTCATTTTTCGAGAGTTTTTGGAGATGTTGAATTTTCCATTGCTTAAAAATTAAGAATTTAAGAAAACGCTTTATCATGTTCTACATCTTGACATGATTTTTCAAATGTAAAAGTAATTAATTACATAGATTGAAGACCTACAAAAAATTATAAGTTGCTCAATGAGCTATTTTCTTAACTATGTCTGTTGAATATCTCTTAAAAACGTCATCATATTGTACTGACTATTTTACCATGACCTTTCCATTGAAGTACAACTATATCTTGAAAATTTTATACAATTCGAATCTACCTCGTCCAAAATCGATCTTTTCACAAGTCCTCAACAGCAAGAAACAATAAAATCAATAAAGTGTTTTTCTATGAACTTCTATTTATTAAATTTACGTTTAGGTTGGCTAATGAAAGGTTAAAAAATAACAATACTATTGAATTAAATGATTTAGAAATGTTATGTCATAACAATCGTAGTATGTTAAATATCGAACAATATGTAAGAAATTTACTTAAGGAATTCGACATAAATAAAAGTCAATATTCATCAACTATTCACGTTTCATTACGTCAACGTTTTTCTAATCTTGCTGAACAATGTCAAAAACAGAATGCTTCTAAACAAGTTATAACATTAATAATGAAACTTGCTGATCATACTTATAAGTTGCCTGAACAAACGAATGAAAGACAAAACAAATAAACATAAAATCATAATAAAGTAACTTTTTTTTTGTTTATTTATTATAGCTTCAGTAGAAAAATTGATAATAAAGAAAAGTCAATATCATTTAAAACTAGATTAAGCATTGGATGAAATTAAAAAAGAAAAACTATTTTTCAATTACTATCGAATTCTTCAACTGTGATTGAAACTCAGAAAACAAGCGAGTCACTTAAGAAATGAATTAAAATTTGAAATAAGACGAAAATTCAATGAACAACAAAAATTTCGTAAATCTTACTCTACTAAACTACCATCTCATCATTAATATCTTCAATTACTACAACTAGTGAAGTCAGTTCGTCTCATGTAATTTTTTCTACTGAAATGACAACTATGAAGATGCAAAACAGATTTTATGTATTAACAATACCAAAAGAGAATCATATACTTGATTCTACTAATGATAATACGAAAATATTGCTTTTAATATTTAGTTTTTTGTGCATTATTTGTGTTATTTCGATGAGGAAAAGTACGAAGTTAAATATTTTTTATAACTATTTTCATCTCTTTATTGTTATTTGTTTTTTCGTTTTGTGAGTAAAGTATGCAACATTATATCTATATGATATTTTCATAGGAAATAATGTTGTTTTATTCGTAAAAAAAAAATAAATGAATGTTATTTACAAATAGAAATTAATGATACAACAATCAAATTTCTTTATTTAAAAATGAACGAATGAAAGGCAAGTGAAACACTTCTCAATAAATCAGTTGATCAACATTTATTAAGTTTCGTATTAGATCAACAAAAGACAAACCAGTGAGGATATGAAGGGAAGAGAAAATAAGACTCAGACACCCACACTACTCCACTACTCAACGTTAACCATGTGCTAATGACATTGTCATGAATACTTTTTCTATAGTTTTTCTTTCCAGTAAACTTTAAAAAATTTACACATTTTCTTGCTTCCAATAAATTCTCTATAAATACAGAAAACAACACATGAAAAGTGTTCATATTTTCTCCATCTCTAATTTTGAACTATAAAATTTAATTCGATGCAATGATCATTTTGAAATCATTCTCCTTCTTTTTAATGTCCTGTATAGCTATTGTTTAGATTGTTTTCGTGCAATAAACAGAGAAATCAGTAAGAATTTTTTTCACTATCGAATTTCTTATAAATGAAAAGGTAATCAAAACACATTTAAGAAGGAGTAAAATGACAGTGTCTTATTTTTATTGTGTTTCAAAAATGTGATCACTTGTCAGTTAATGAATAATCCAACAATATTGTATAACTTATTTATTTATACTGAACGGGAAACAAACTAATTTCTATGCTAGAAATCATCAGAAATTATGGCAGCGCGTTAAGGATATGATTAATATATAAAACCGATTGAGAACTATCGGAAACCATCAAGAGTCATGAGAAAACAATGGAAATCATAGAAAATCCGTTAGTAATAACATTAGAAGTAAAGCACTGATTTTTATTAATTATTAATGATTTTCTTCATTGTTAATAATTGCCAATATTCCGAGTAGTTGCTTTTGACTTCTAATGAATTCTCACGATTTTCTTTCATTTCTAATAATCCCTATGTATTGACAATTACAGATAAAAACTGATTTTCAGTGATAAAAATCAATAGAAGTTAAGAGGACACTTTCATTATCATTCTTCTATATTTATCAACAATACATAAATCATGATTCAATTTAGTAGTGCCTAAGTAATTTAAAAAATGGTCGCTTTTTGAAAACAAGATACAAATACGACAATACAATTTTACTCATTGTAAAAAGTGGTTATTTTTCATGAATTAACTTAATTTTTGACCACCATTAGCCAACTATGAAAAATATACATCTCTATTCAAAAAAGAAAACCTTAATCAAATATTCTTAAGTAATATTATTTTAAGTTGTGCAAATCAATTGTCAATGTATGCTGTATTGTCTTATCTATTTGATCATTGCATTGAACAAAAAAAAAAGAAAAAGTAAAAGAAATCTAATAAGTTCGTTTTCTTTTCAAAAAAAAAATCATTTTGTTGATCTATTTATTGAATGTTGTACAAATTCAATTGTGTATTCTTTTCGTCTCCATTTTTTTTATTGCTAATTTCATCGTTAATGAACTGTTTAGTTGATTATTTTGTATTTGTAAGTTTAATTTTTCTTGCTTTTTCAGTATAATATCCTTCATAAAACATTTAATGTAACATTTTACTTAGATACAATTATGTGCAAATTTATCTATGTCAACTTTCTTTAGAAAAATCCTTTTGTATTATATACAAGAAGACTATCTATGATTGATGACATATTCAATCTGGTATTTTAACTATAGAGATTTTTTTCTTATTGGGTTATCTTCGATATGAAGCTCCCATTAGAATTCTTTTACTGTGATGAGAAATCTTTTGTTCTTATTAGTCTAAAAACAAAATAATCGTAATAATATATCAAAATGCAGAGAAAAAAAATCTCTTAACATGAAAATCCTCTTCATATGAGTAGATAATGGGATATGGTTTCTATTAATGAGAACATTTAATACAATACATTGAGAAGTAAAAGAAATGGTTTATTTACACTCTTTTTCTTTGCTTTGTTTATCAAATTATTTAAGAATACGAGAAGAACATGTGAGACAGTACAATGAAATAAATTTTGTAGCATAGATCTGTATTAAATTTTAAACGTAATACAATACATACGTATATTTTTGAAACGACTCAAACTATTATCGACATATTGTAATAGTTTCGATTCTTGTTGTTTCTTTTCTCATATAACTATATGTTGTTATAATTATACCAATCAACTGATAAGATAAACATATATTCGAATAGTTTTTCACTCCTAGGTCGCAGAACGATCAAAATCCATCGTGTAATGTTTTCATCCCATTCCATCGTTTTTCTTATAGTTCATGCTGTTTTTCTTTCGCCCTCTTTCATGTCATATAGATTACTCCCTCTCTGTCCTCTTCCTCATGATGTGTGGACTATTCCCTTTTCTGTTTTACCTATCACCTGGATTTCTCATTACTTTCTTGTCACATTCACTACACTTTGTCTATCATGGTAATCAGGTTGGTAATTTCCGTCACGTCCAATTGATTATAGAGCATGGTTTCGCAAGAAACTGCATTCGATCACATACTCCTCTTCTTCGACGTTTAGCGTTAACCATTTGAGAGCTATTGCACAATACAGATTTCCCAAAAGTAAACCATGTGCTCAACTGCTATCACGGGTTTCAATGAAACTTTGCCTATATGTAACCCAACTGAGACATGAAAATATTAAAAGCTTGAGTTTCTAAAATCGCTCCCTTGTTGAGGTATTTTATCTAGAACGAAAATATTCTAAAGTAATCCATACATTGAATACTTAAATATGCAATGCATGGATAGTGTGATTATCATCCTCATTTATTATTTTAGGTGCCTCTGTTGTAAACTGAATATCTCAAGAAAGAAATAGCTTTACAAGCTGAAATTTTTAACCTTCTCAATCTCACTTATCAATATATATATATAGGCAAAATATCATTGAAATCCGTCATATCAATTCAACAGGATAAGTCTTCCTCTATTGTGCAATAACTGCTAAAGAGTTTTCATCATTTCATATTCAACATTCATCTAGTTAACTATCATCCTCAATGTAGCAAAAATATAGATAATTATTTGGACCTAATAAGGCGTGTGATTCTTAATAAAAAAAAGACGAAAAACAAAGCTCGACCTAAAAAAGGTTATAAGAAGTCAGATGAGATTTATCTGTTGTTTGTTTTTTATCGAAGCATTGCGTAACTCAACTTTGAATCATCTTAGGATATGCGTATGTAAAAATATGCTATGACTCGTGATTTGATCCTAAATACAGTAGACATTTAGCGGCATCATATGGAAGAATAAAAATTTTATTGAATAAAAACTATCCAATAAAATAATTTTCTTCAACATGATGAAAGTAATCATCTTCGCTACGTTTTACCCATAACTATTATTTGTTTGTTTCGCTTCTCTTCGTCATGATCACGCCGTTAAACAACTGCTTTCTAACTAACTGATTTCTTATCTTGAAATTGAATTCTTTTTTCTCTCTTCATTCCATTTTGTATAGTACGATTGACTAATCTAGGTATTTTACAATTGCTTGTCCTTGATTTTAAGTTTTGTGCATTTATATTTGATCATTTAAGTTCATTTCTCAAACTATAATCAGATTCATAGTTATGTTTAAGATAGTCTATCAATCTTTTGTGTAATATTTAAGCACTTTTTCATTTCATTTTTTTTTGGTCATAATATTTTTTTTCAATATTTAATTGATAATGATTCATTAGAAAAAAACATTCTTCTAGGTCTTCCAAATATATTTATTTTTTATACTTTGCCATAAACAAAAATTATTATCATGATATGATTGTTTAAAAGTATTTTCAAAGATTTGATAATAGAATAGATAAGAATATTTATTTTAATTGTGTTAGAAAAATTCCTTTTAAAAACTTCGTCTTTTTGTTTTTTTTTTAAACTGAATATTCATCAATTTTTACAGTTGACTATAAAGTTTATTTCGTAGTTTCTCCTAAGATGTATCTTTTCTCGTTTTGTAATTGATAATTTCTACTGCAATTATACGCAATATTTTCAATTAGCTCCATATAATAGTCGTTATATGAATCATATTCTAATATCTATTAAGGATAGATGATTCAGTGTGAAAAATAGTACTCTCATGATTGAGTTGTGTATTGTCATCTAGGCTTATCTAAAATTCCATTTGTTTATTGATAAGAACAAAAAAAAAACAATCAACAATGATGACTTTCTTTTTTTTGCTTAGATTTGTACTGAATATATAAAATAATAAAATGACACTCAACGGTTTCGGTAAGCAAACAAAATGATGTATTAAAATTTGTTCTATTTATTTTATTCCAGGGAACGGAACCGTTGTTGATTCTCATATTCCAATGGATTGTATTCGTCGACGTAAAGAACAATTGAAAAAAGAAATTCAAGTATGTTTTTATTTCATATTTTTCTCAATAACATTATATTGTATCTAAATTTTATTAGGAAATTCGTGAAAAAATTGCTCAATGTGAAATTGAAATGACTATGATTCAGTCCAATAGCAATGATGAGTATGTATTCGAAAAATAATCGAGATCATTACATAAATATAATAATCATCCTTTTTTAAATAATTAATGATTTTCATTCTTTTTTTTTTTCTCATTTATTTTACATTTATTATGTTCATTAATGATTAGAATAAATACGATCGAGGGAAAGAAAAAAAGAAAATTAATATGTTGTCAGATAGACTTATTTCTTGCCTTACTTGCCTAAACTGACATAAATAGAAGAGAAACAAAAATAGATAATGCGTTATTTTTTTTTTCTTTTTTTGTTATTACTCGAATATTCGTTATATATTATTAACACTAATCATACAGAAGTACAAAAGAAATAATATCAAGTTTTATTATCCCATATGAATAGATATATATCATTATTGATACACAAGGATACATAAAAAGTCGTAGAGTAGAACAATTGAGAGCAATATACAGCATACAATTCGTCATAGTTTTGATATTTGTGACGCAAGGCATTTGTCTTGTGATCTACTTATACGTAAACAACTATTCATGAAGCGTGTGAAAAATATCTCTACAGTTAAACCATTAAAACCTATGTCTTATGTATGCTATTTTACAGCACCAGTTCCACTTAAAAAAAGTCAATTGTCAAGGTTTTTCACTAATTATTTAATTTTATCATTTGAATAAAATTTCTTTTGTTTCTTTTATAGTCGTCGTAATTCAAATGCTAAACAATGGTCAATTGCTAAAAGAAGATTTAATGACAATTCAAAAGAAGTAAGTATTCATCTATAGAAAACCATATGTAACCAGTGACTTATAGAAAGAAAATGGGACAATATGTTATCTTCTTTCTTAGGGCACTTCTCAACATATTAGAGACATTGTTTTTTTTCCCTTATCCGATAGAGAATTTTCTGCTCTCTGCTTCCACGACCTTTGTTCAAGGTTTCTACTATTGTTATTCAGAAGAAACAAAGCTTCGAACATATATCCAAGGATATTTTGAGGCGCATCTCCAAAAACCATATTGTGTAAAATGAGATGTGTTCTATGACACGTTCGTTCTCATGTTATAGAGTATAGAATTTAATTCTCAATAGAATAGTATGATTGTTAAATTGAAGAGTAGAAACACTAGGGCAAAAAAACAATCATTTTATTTTAGGAGACAAGACTTTTTCTCTGCATATATTTCTTGTAAAAATTAGAATAGATGGTTGAGTCGATGTGCATGAACAAATATGCTAGTTTAATAAAGCAGAACATTTTCTGTCCAATAAGACTAAAACAAGTGTCTTTAATATGTTGAGAAGTGAAGATAAAAATATTCTGTTTCATTTATTATGATCTATCTATTATTGTTTTTCTTTACGCATTGATTGTAGGGTATTCGTTGGCTAATGGAAAATGGTCTTATTCAAAATACACCAGAACATACAGCTGCTTTTCTTTTTAATGAAACTGGTTTAAGTAAACGAGCAATTGGTGATTATCTTGGAGAAAAGTATACAAAACAAAAAATAAAAATAGGAAAATTTTCAAATCTATATTTTTATTAATATATAGAGATAATTTTCATATTGAAGTACTCAAACATTTTGCTCATATGCATGATTTTTTCTCTATGGATATTGTTGAAGCGCTGAGGTTTGTTTTTTTTTATTGAATTTATTTTCTAAAATGAATTTTTTTTAGACGATATTTATTCACATTTATTCTTCCGGGTGAAGCACAAAAAATCGATCGAATTATGGAAGCATTTGCTCAACGTTATTATGAATGTAATCCACATATATATGCTACAGCTGGTAAGTTAAAGAAAACAACAACACTTTTAAATTTCTTCGTTTTTTATTTTAATCATGAATAGAAGTATGTTATATTGTATCATTTGCTACAATTATGTTAAATACATCATTACATAATAAAAGTGCTGTTCGTATGGGTGGTGGTTCATTTACTTATGAAAAATTTGTTAATAGTTTAAGTGAAACAATAGCACGTCATCAAATGCCAGATCAAAATATAATTAAAGTAATATCTTTTTTTGTTGTTTTATTTTTACTTTGAAAAATTTATTTTAGAATATTTATGATAATATTAAAAATAGTGAATTAAAATTTCCTGATGATGATGTTAATTTAACTGTACCGATATTTGGTAGTGATTCAACAATAATTAAAGATGGATGGTTATGGAAACAAGGTAAAAAAAAAATGAAATAAATATATAAAAAAAAAAATAAATTGAAAATATTTTTTAGGTGGTCGTGTTCGAAATTGGAAACGACGATGGTTTGTTATAACCGATGGTTGTCTTTTCTATTTTGAATCAAGAACAGTAAATAATTTCAATTATATAACATGAAAAAAAAAATTTATTTCATAGGAAGTTGATATTCCTCGTGGTGTTATACCACTTGTTGATGTTGCTGTTCGAGAAATCGATGATGATCGTACAAAACAATATTGTTTGGAAATATTTCCACTTACCGGAGATAAAGTTAAAGCAAGTAAACCAGTACCAGGTGACATTGGAAAATGGATTGAAGGTTAAATTTTTATAATCAATTAAACTTAAACAGGAAAAATAAAAACAAAGTTTTAATATTTTTTTGTTTTAGGTCATCATACAGTTTATCGTATGTCAGCATCATCCGATGATGATCGAAAAGATTGGATTCGTGCATTACGTATAGGAAGTCAAAATCATTTACCTAGACAAAGATTATCTTAGTAGATTTTTTCCTTTTTTTTTTTATTATTTATTGTTGATTCTCATTGTTCGATCTGGTGCTACTAATTAGTGTCTGTAATAATTTTCATTCCATATATATGTGCTTAATGGCTGGTCCATGCAATATGTCTTTTTTTTTGCGGCTGCTACGACGCCCGGTGCGTTGTTTGTGTATAGAACAGTGTTTCTTTTTTCGTGCTCTCTCAACCATTTTTTTCTTTCTTTCTTTCTTTCTTTTTTTTTTATATTTCTCGTGTTCTGTTGTCTTTAGTGTATAAAAAAAAAAATATATATATATATACTGTTGAACAATAAGTGATGATTAAAAGAGATAAGAAAACAATACTTCATTTTTTTTTCAGATTCTCTATAGAAATAATTATGCCACTTGAAAGTACAATTATATGGTGAGAAAGATATTTGGTTATTCATAAAAAGAAAGATTTCGAATTTTAATATTTAGTATTGATAATAGTGATTTTATGCGTGATGGAGATTTTATTCCGACAAGAATGCAAGTACAACAAGATGCTGTTTCACTTATATTTCATGCTAAGACAAGATCAAATCCAGAGAATAATGTTGGATTACTTACACTTTCAGAGTATAAAAATATTTATAATATTCAAAAGTTTTTGTGTGTCTAATATAAGAATTCTTATTTTAATTTTAGTGGTCGTGTTGTCACTCAATTGACAAATGATGTTGGCAAAGTTTTCTCAAAGTTACATTTATTACCAATAGAAGGAAAAATTGATTTTTGTAAAGGCATTAAAGTAGCTAATGTAAGTTGTTTTCTTAAGATAAAAGATATTTTAGCAGACAAATGTTATATAATAATATATGAATTAGAAAAAAATAAAAAGAATGTCAGAACTCTACAGTTTAATCATTCTATAAGCTGCAAGGCTATCCTTTTTCTTCTATTAGAATGAACATAAAACACGATGTAGCTGTTGTTGCTAGTTACAGGAAGATTATTTTATTCTAAATGTATTGGAACAGATTTCTTTACCATTCTTTCGCTAAAATTCTCCACAAATGCGAGAAAAAAGATTTTCATATCTTATAATGAGACATTATTGATGTAGGCTCTGTAATGTTTTCTAGCTAACATCTGTCATGGCCTGAAGGAGAGAGAAAATGCGAATTTCTGTCCTATATACTTCAGTACTCCTTGTAGACCCTTTTGTACAAAAACGGCACTTAATAAACTGAATATAGTCCATTTCATCACATAACCTGAAACCTCTTTCGAACATTCTTAACCATAGTTTGCAACATTTTTAGATAAAGTTCTTTTGTCTTTTGTTGATCCTTTGAGCCAATACATGCAAGGCTTTTGTTTTTCAACCTATTTTCTTCTACTTTTTGTTTAAGTAGAGGCCAAGCAATTTTAATTCGCTTATAGGATTATACTGATTAGGAAGGAATGATATGTTGTTCTCGTTCAAGCGTGCCTTTACAATATTTGAGTAATTGGATCAATTTTTTAGCTTTCACTGCTCATTTTCAGAGTTTTTCGACGTTTTCTAATAATGACTGATGTCCTTACTCTCAGTTTATTATGAAACAGTTTAATAATGTATCCTAAAGCATCGTTCTAATTTTGGTTGATCGAAACTACACCGATTATTCCCAGGTTTAACGGTATTATTTAAATGCTTCTCTGAAATCTTATAAAGTCGACCACTTTTTTGGCAGATATTTCATAGGTTCATGACGATAATACTTCCGTCAGAGAGATCCGTGAGGTATTCTCGCACCATTATTCAAATGTCGATGCGTCGCTTGCCTCTTTCGTATTTTGTTCTGTGGATGTATTTCACTAGAACTAATTCCTTTCAGCAGTGTGTTCTTCCAAGAAGTCATAAACTGTGAAACGATGACAAAGACGATCCATGGAAATTTGTTAGAAATTACATCGATCTGTGCTAGAGCGCGAGACTGCAATATTATATTGTGGGTCTCTGTTCCGTATAGGAATGTACAGTTCCAGTTTACTGATCATCAACGTCAGCGATCGTAAGTTTACGGCTACAGTAACCGCACTAAAGGTGATATTGGTATCACTACTTCAGTATTTACATAAAAACCGCACATCGTTAGTTCCGTAATATATTGTATATCATTGTTTACGGAATATTCTATCTTGTTAAACACTCTACTGTAGTTTTCACGCAATTATTTTCACAGCCAAAATAGAGATTGCAAATACATGCAACTGAAGTTTCTCTTGCGTCACATGACATTTTTTTTTTTTTTTTTACAAAGGATCCGTAACGGAGTGTTTCTACCTTTGTTGAAAGAGAAGGAAACAGGCTATCAGATGATCACCAAATATTCTATCTATTATACGTTTGTCAAAGAAAGATTTCTATAGCAAGTGACTATTATCTATCTCGAAGGAAAATTTCACGTGAAAATTTGTTTATTTGAGTTTTTGCAAATGTCTTACTAATGACTGATTGTTATAATAAGAGAGTATTAAATTAACAGCATATATTCTTGGATTGAATAAATTTCTATAATCTAGTATGCGAAAAAAAAAACATGATTTTTATTTATTCACATTTTTTGTTTTTTTTTTGTTTTTGGTTAAAATAGTTAGCATTAAAACATCGACAAGGTAAAAATCATCGACCTCGTATTGTTGTTTTTGTTGGTAGTCCACTTGAAGTTGATCCTAATGAATTTACTAAATTAGCAAAACGATTAAAAAAAGAAAAAGTATCAATTGATATTGTTGTCTTTGGTGAAGAGGTAAGATTTTTATTAAATAGAATATTAGAATTTTGTTTATCTAATTTGTATTGATATCTAGTCTTCTCGTGAGAAATTTGAAGAATTTATTACAATTATTAATGGAAAAGAGAATACAAAGTAAACAAAAACTTGAAACAAATATGAATACATAATTTGTTTCAATTATTTTTAGTTCTCATTTGATATGTATTCCATCTGGAGCTAATTTACCAGATACACTTATTAATACACCAATTATTCAAAGTGAAGATGGTTCAGGTTTACCAAATGGTTATTCAGCAAGTGCTTTTGCATTTGGAATAAACCCTGAAGACGATCCAGAATTAGCTATGGTTAGTTTGTTTTCTTTAACATTTTGGTGTCAGGGCTCGTCAATATACAGACTGCTCTGTCATGTATATTGTAACTTATACAAACTGTTCTGTTTCCCTTATGCGTTTTTTGTATCATAGCATCATTATATGACAGGATTAATATTGTATGACAAGTAGAAAATAAAGAATTGCGGAGTTACAATTCTGTGAGAAATCATAGACTCTCTACATCCAAATTCGTTCGAACTTCTATGTCAATGGACGGAAATCCGTTAAATTGCGTAGAATACTAGACATTCAATTTTATTAGATCTATATTATGATACGGAACTACAAGGCTATTCATGAAGCTATGCAAAGAATTCCACAAGGTTTCGGGCAATACTATTCGACTCTACAAGTATTGAATTGTGTAATGTTGGTTGAAATCTAACACAATCTGCTGATTTTCTTTGACATGTATACCCGATACCTGATTTCTATGAGCAAACCCAGATTTTTTATTGTCCTCTTTGCAAACCCCTACAAGTGAATGGCTAAGATTTTACTTCTAGTGATAAATTCGATCATTTTTTTAGGCTCTCCGTATTTCCATGGAAGAACAACGACGTGTTCAAGAAGCTGAAATAGGTCGTAGCACAGGTGGTGAAGGAGCTCAACAAAATCCATCAACAAATACAGGAAGTTCGAGTGAGATTAATTCTTTTTTTTATCATGATGCAATATATACAATAGGCATTAATGTTAATATTTAAACAGGTACTAATGAAATGGATGTAACTCGACTCACAGAAGATGAACAAATTGCTTTGGCTATTCAAATGTCTATGTCACAAGCTGAAAGTGGTCGTATGTGATGTTTATTTATTTTGATTTAAGAAATATTTTCTTTATTCTAAGATACGAATGATGTTGAAATGAAAGAAGAAACTTCTGCTTCTACTGATACATCATCAAACACTCAACAATCAACAAAGGTAAATTTATTCCGCCGTTTTTTTTTATTGGCCTATGAATAAAATTTTTACGATAGACTAATGAAGAAACACAACAAAATGCTGATACATTTGCGGCTTCTCTCAACGATCCACAGTTTTTACGTGATGTCCTTCGTGATTTACCTGGTGTTGATGTTGACAGTGAAGCTGTACGAGCAGCTCTTGAGCAAGTGCAACAACAACAACAACAACCACCACCACCAAAAAAAGATACAGACGATAATGATGATAATGACAAATCAAATGCAACAAAAAAGAAAAAAGATGAAGAAAAATAGAAAAATAGAATAAAATAAACATTATTGAATGAAGCAATGGACTATTTAATCAAGGAACATTTCCGTGGATTTTCTTTTAAATGTTATTGTTGTTATTTTTATGTTTATTTCATCATATTCCTTTTCCTCTTTCATTTTGCTGATTTGAACCAGCTATAAATACTTAATATCCACCTATTATTTCAACTATCAAACAAGAAAAAAAAAAACATAAAGTTTCAAACAAAGATTTTTGACAAGATTCTAATCATATAAATTATGTTGGATGCTTTCAAATCAGTTGAATACAACTGTCAAATGAAATTTATTATTGAATTCAACTATCCTTCTCTTACGTAATCACCAAAATCTTCATTATATATTTATCACTTGAGAATCATTGAAGTAGTATATGTAAGAGAATTGTAATGTTATGGAATGAAATATGTTATTTCTCATAATAAACCAGTCTTTCTCTTTCAGTTAACATAAGATTTATAATTGTTAAAGTGAATGCTGCATTTCTAAGAACTGAACGAGTCATAAATATGTTGCATAATAAGAAGTACATAGTGATAAAATTTGTTTTGTCTATTCGTTATCGAAAAAAAAATGAAAAGAACGACATGAGAAAAAGAAAGAGAGAGAGAGAGAACACAAATAAGAAAAAAAGAAGAAACATAATGAAGTGAAGAAGAGAAAAAGAAGCACAGTGGAAGAAGTTGTGGTTTATATATTCGTTTTCAATTTGCTTCAATGGAATAAACGAAAAAAAAAAAAAAAAAAAAAAAAAAAAAATGATTTGAATAGTTGGTTAGTCATTCAAAAAGAAAAAAAAAAAAAAAAAAAAAGAATAATCGTTCAGTTATGTTGTTTTTGTATTTCATCACAAAATGCACGTTGAAGAATAAAAAGATCTCTGTTTTTTAATTTGTTTTGGGATAGTCATTAACAATACCACGTTGTCCACCACTAAAACCACTATTTTCTGTTCCATAGTATGGCTCTCGTCTACCACAATCAGGGCAAAGAATTTCAGGACCATCAGTAAGAAAACCTCGACCAACAAGTGAACTTCGACAACGTTGACATACAAAACAATCATTATGCCAATGACGTTCTTCAAATGATATATAACGTGTACCACCAACACCTATTAAATATAAATAATTAAAATTATAATTAAAATAATATTTCTGTTATTTTACCAGTAATAGGTTTACTGCATGCAACACATTTTTTAGCAAAAAGACGAGCAAAACAATCAGCACAATAAGGATGATCATCTCGTGATGTAAATCGTTGACCAGCTAATGAATTTTTACAATGTGTACAAGTAAAACATTCACGATGCCTAAAGAAAATATTTTATAAAAAAAAAGAAGATTGAGTAACGGATCTCGAAATATACCATGGTTGATTTTTGTATGTTACACCACCTTGGGCAATTACCTATATTGTTTAAAAGAAATGTGATAATAGATTATAAATAGAAAAAGCGAAAATAGAACTAAAAAAAGAAACTTTTCGTCCTTGCTTAGACTTAATACCTTAAGGCAACGGGTACATTTCGTTGCAAAATTTTCTTCATAACATGGAACACAATAGCTTTTTTGATCTTTTGGAATAAAACTTTTTGTTCCAATAGGTTGTGAACATGCAAAACAAGTAAAGCAATGTTCATGATATTGTTGTCCACGATATTCAAGTTTTTTAGTACCTAAAAAAAAAAACAAAACACTTACATGTATACATATGATTATATTACTATTTAAAGTTCTTTTTTTTCACCTGGTTTAAATATTTGATGACATTTATCGCAACGTGAAGCAAATTGTTGATTATAACATTCACCACAATAAAGTTGTTCATTTTTACAACCAAATGGTTTATCAATAAGTGGTGTTTTGCACATTGAACAAAAAAAACATTTTTCATGCCAATGACGATCTTTATATGAAAGATCCTTTGAAACAAAAATATTCAATTAAATCATATATATATATATGTATATGTGTGTGTCTTTCTTGTAAATACAAACTTTTGAATCAGTACCAATTTTTCGTCCACATTCTTCACATGTATTAGCAAAACGATCTTCATAACATTTAATACAATATGGATGTTCATCTTTCAATATATATCGTGAACCAGATAAATTTCTTTCACAATAATGACATGAAAATTGTTCTGGACCGGTATTACCATATGAAGTATATGGATATGATGAATGGCCATTACTTATTCGAGCATTAGTATTCATTGATCTATTATAATCTCCGTCTGCATTGCTATAAATAACCTAAAAGAAAAATGAATAACTACATCATTTTCGCTTGATGTTGTTTATCAAAATAAATCATTCTGTGCAAATTTTCTCTATCTTGTCTTCTTGTATATCATCGAATAATATCTTTATCTAGCTGTCATCTGTAAAAAATATGCATTATACTCGCATTATGGTACATATGCGTTGTTATAAAATGGTACAGAGTGAATTCTTATGTTTGTTATTCTTTCTAAGACAAGTAAAAAAAAAAAAGAAGAAAGATACTTGATGAACATATGGCATCTCTTTTTTTTTTCTAATGTAGAAAATGATAAATGAATAATGTACTATAAGAAATACTAACGTGATCTTGTTCATCGTCCATATTTTAATATGTTTTTATTTAAAATAAATGAAATAATGCACAATAATGATTATAATAATGATAGTTAGTGATGATCAGGATAACAATCACATTGTATGAATCGACAACTCATAGGAACATGCAAGCATGCACGTTGACTCTATCTTTACTTCTTTATAATAGATGAGAGAAAGAAAATATAGAACTATTTGTCGTTCTTTTTTTTCTGCCTATTTGAGTTTATCTGTTCTCTTTTTCTTTGTCCTTTTTTTTCGAAGTGTTATCGGACGAGTCAGCGAAAGAAAGATCTAATTGCAGTCGCGTAGTACACTAGTAGTAGAATAGAAAGAGAGAAAAAAAGAGCGAACGATGTGTCGACAAACTATGATAAGGTAGGGACTAAAAGAAAAAAAAGTCAAAAGGACTAGCTATGTTTAGCTCTCATGCAAATAGAATATTCAAGCATGTTGAGACAGAGAGAGAACGAAAGAATCGAGTAGGAGCGCAATGAATGTAAAAAAAAATGAGACACGCTAAATCTTTGTGACGATATTGCATCTCTTTCTTTCTCACACACCCATGCGATGTTTGATAAGACGAAATTCTTGCTCACGGCAGAAAGAATGAATATGGTCACCTATTCTTTCTTTCTGTTTTAGATTTGCCGCATACTATCGTTTGTGTATAGAAGAGTACGGTCACTCGACAATTTTCTTTTTTTTTTTTTTCGTTTGTGTGTCTATAGACGTTATTATTGTAGAAGTACCACCAGCAGTCATTCGAAGACATAAAAATGAAAAACGATGGAGCAAAATAATAACATTGTCGCATACTTCGACCGATTGTCTAGATGGATTTACGGAAGAAAAAAAAAAAATTTAAGCTATTCTTTTCTTTTGATGATAGTTTAAAATATATAACAAAAGATATGCAATTCATAAGAGGATATTTAGACATAATACACTTGATAAAGAAAAAAAAAATGAATGAATGAACAATACGTTGTTATCAATAGATGAAATTAGAATAATATCATATATCTGTATGATGACGATTGGCTGTTCTATATTTGAATTACGAATAACTTATTTGCTTTTCAATGTTGTCTAAGTGACAAATATTGAGAAGAAAAATCAAAAAAATGTGATACGTACATCAAACTTTGCGGTTTATATCAAATACTTATATTTGTCAAGAGAAGAAACTTAAATCATTAATTTATTTTTGCTTCTTCTTTTTCTTTTTCAAAGTCAAGTTACAGACACATTTATGCGGTTTTTTATTATTGATATAAATAAATGTGAAATAAATTTAAATTGTATAATAAAACCATCTTCAACATACAAAGTAATAAAATAAAGCATTTCTACTGATAGGATATAAATGAAGAGTAAATATTTTGATAGCCTATGGAAGTTTTATGGTTACAATAAGGTATGCCATTGAAACTATGCAGATACATTTTATTTCTGTTTTGTTTAACAAGTAAAGCAAATCATCTCGAACATCATATTCCGTAGTTACTTTCATTATCAATATAATTATAAAGTATAATACTAATGCCAGACATCATAGATTTAATATATTATGAAATTATCACAAAAAAAAAGCTAATTCTCATGAATACGTTCATTTCTAAGTTTAATATTGAACCTTTTTCAAAAGAAAAGTGCTTAGATATAATAAATGATGATGTGATTATTAAATTTATTTAAATCTTAGTCTTATTTTTTTTTGTTTCTTATATATACTAAATGAATCTAACAGTCGAGCGTGGGAACTATAGATTATTCGTATATCTGATAGTATCTTCTATTTGAATTATGTTCTTCTCTATGACTAATTATTTTTTTAATCAAAATTAAAATTGAACAAACCCTTCCACTTTGTAGATCATCTCCACCGAAATTTTGCCTGGAAAAAGGACGTTCATTAACATAATATGGTTGTTCTTCATAAATATGTTGTTGTGGTTGTTGTTGTTGTGGAAAGCCACTTCTTGAACCAGTAGAATGTACTGTTTGATAGGTTGGGCTCCGTCCCGTGTATGCCATTTTATGAGAAAAATCTGAAGGTAAAATATAAAACTAACAAAAACTAATAGTAATAATACAAATCCTGGTGAAATTTCTCTCTTCTTTTTATTTTAACTATTGCTATTGCATTTCTTTGGTTGCTCCCTTGCTCAACTCAACTGTGTTTTCGAAACCATTACCATTTGTGTTTTTCTTTCCACTCTCATTCTCACTGCCTATATATTCAATCTGAAAAGTTTTTTTTTCCTGCTACTCTTCGTAGAGAGTGCACAAGAACGTGTGTGGATGTGATGAAAGACGACGCTAAATATAAAAAAAGAAGAAAAGAAATGAAAAAAAATGTAGAAGGACA